ATTGAAATGATCCCCGCTTTGATCTGTGTGGTTAAGAAGACCTCACAAAAGAAGGTGGCCACTGAGGGCCTTTTAATGGATGACAATGGTATCAACAAACAGCTCCTTAATCAATATTTGGCCAGAGCTGCAGAAAACTCCCCTTTCAGATTTTAATTCCTGGTTGTAAAACAACCCTAGAGCAGCCAGTGAGATAAGACACCAAGCTGACTGCTTAATTGCTGTTTAGTGGCTGGTGAGTTACATGGTAGGTTCTTGTCCCTAATAGTTCCTTAATCTTCATTTACTGAGGTGAATAAATAAGTTACCTGTCATAGGGCCCCACTGAACTGAAACTTTCCGGGTCCCAGGCCAGGCAACTCGTCACTGAGCTGTTCATTCTGCTGGCCAATTATTTCTGTATAACTTGAACGTTTAATCTCATGATTGTGTTTTGTTTTGTCCTCAGAATATTCATGGATGCTGAAACCGCTAGTTAAATGCAACGCTACTGTTCCTTTGACTGATTTCTGTATATTCCACTTGCCTGAACGGAGGCACACTTTCTGGTTCCACATCACCGCCCAGGTGAGTTTTATGACTCAGCCCTGGAGACTCTTAAATGACCCTTCAGTAATTATTACACACTGGAAGCCCCTACCTCCTGTTCCGGTGCTATCAACAATCACATCAAAACCCCAAAATAAACATATGATTTCGTGCATTAATTAGAAAATCTGTATGTTTTCAATAAAGCTACACAGTAAGTATACAGCAGTTACCCCAGTAAAAAAGAGGAAAAAGAAAGGCTAAGGACAGACCCCCCACCCTTACCTCCCCATTGTTCTGGCTAGGGAATGTTACTGCGGTGTGGTGGCCCTGTCATCGCCAATACATTTTTTTTTAAATGGGACACTTTCCTTGAGTAGAATTGTAAAGCCTTCAAAACTTTAAAATGTATCTCCAGCTCTAAATATGACGTTGAGAGCAGACTCCTGTCCTGGCAAACGGACTTGAGAATGGTCAGGAAGTGACCAGTAATAAAAGATCTGGGTCCAGAAATCTGTGATCTTGCTCCTGTTTTTTTTTTTAATCTGTGGGGAGGCTCAGCCTGTGACCCCACACCACCACACCAACCAGTTCCCTTCCCCACCAACAAGGAAGAAGCAAACGGTTTTGCTTTTCCCTCACTACTCCCTCCATCCGAGAGTGCTTTTCAAACAATCCACTGGAAACGAAATATTGCAAGAACTTTACTCCTCCCCCCCCCACCGCCCGCTTTGGTCTTTATAGACATTCATTTTTTAATCTGACGTCATTTGTCATTAATTATTGTAAAGATCGTGAACTTACACACAAAACGAGCTCAAGAAAAACTTAATTTCTGAAAATAAAAAAAGCAATTTTTTTCACAAAAGAAAAAGGGAAGGTGAAGGGAATATAGGCTCCCAGAGGTCCTGTGCCAGAAATCTCTCGGTTTTATCCTTGCGATTGTTGCAAACTTCCCACACTTATTTGAGATTTTATTTTTAAAAGGGGGGGGAAGAGTCCCGTGAAAGCATGTCTCGAGGCCCAATCAAAACATCAATTTGGCAATCTGGCCTCTTTCCCCTTGCGCTCCCGCACGGCCACTTCAAAGCCACGGCAACAAGTCCGTAATTGTAACGTTACATCTAAATATTTAAGCGGAAAGTCTTGCCGTCGCGTGTCCATCTACAGTCCCCGTCTGTCCGGTAATTCCATTACGGCACAAAGCAAAAATGTTGCCCAAAACTCACAAACAGGAAAAGCGTCACCCTGCTGAGAGAAAGGGAGGGGGTTGGGAGGTAGAGGAAGAGGAGGAAGGGGAGGGGGAGGAGGGAAAAGGAGGGGAGGAGGAGGAGGAGAGGATGATGAAGGAGCAGTTTCTATCGATTAGTCACCGCTTTTGTGTTAAGGGCTTTCTTTAAAATAAGAAAAAAAAATGGGGGAGGTTGCAGAAATTTCACTAATGTGAGCCTCAGGCTAGGGAGGGAAGAAAAAAAAAAAGAGGAGAAGAAGGGGGAGGCGGGCTGTGTCTAGATGAAAGTGAGAGGGACATAAAGGAGGCAATTGAGTCGGCTGCAGCCCGGCGAGCTAAGCTGCGGGCCGGCCGAAGCGCGGGGAGGGGCGGCGCGGCGCTTTGGCGCAGGGCGCAGCAGCGGGGGCCCCGGCTATTGTGGCGGCGCCCGCGGGCCCGCTCTGCTGCGCCGGGGGAGGAACAGAGGCGCCCATTGAGCTGCCGCAGCCTGGGGTGCCTGAGCTCGGACTCCGCTGGTCCGGCTGCGCCTGCTCTGTCTGCACCGCTGGCCAAGGACAGGGTGGAAGGTTCCCGACCGCACATCCCTCTTCTTTCACTACTGTGCTGCAGCAGGAAGGATGGACTCAGCTGGGGTGTACAGAGCCTGGGCTTCCCTTGGAGCACAGGGGTAGACGCAGCCGCTGCTGGTGCTGAGCAGGATTGGACAAGGGAGGAGGAAAGTTGGTGAAGGCAAAAGGGATCAGAGAGAGAGAGGAGAGAGACAGAAGAGGGAGAGAGACAGAGAGAGAGAGAGAGAGGGAGGGAGGGAGGGAGGGAGGGAGGGAGGGAGGGAGGGAGGGAGGGAGGGAGGGAGGGAGGTAAAGGTTCTGACCTCTGTCTGGGTGCCTTTCCCCCAGCATCCAAGCGTCTGCCAAGCAGACCCCAGGCCAAATTTGTGTCCAGGAAAGCCAATCTCAGCAGCAGGTACCAGGCCCATCTGGCAAGAGCACACAGCAGTGGTGGGGACACCCAAAAGTCCCTCCTCCGCCAGCTTTTCCCTCCCCTTTGCCAGGACTCAGAAAGCCCTTTCTCAACATCCATTCTATTTTACAAGTGGAACCGCCAGAGACTTTTGATGCCGAAACAACAGAGGGGAATATTTGAGGTTTCCAGACTTCAAACTGCAGCTTACCCTATCCTTTATCTGGGCCCCTCTTGCCCTCCAGGGTTCATCCGGAAAGGAAGCTGGAGGCACTGGAGGGACCCAGGCTGAGTCTTCCTTGACAACCCCAAATTAAATTAGACTTCAGCCTCTGAGGGAGGGGCGTGTGTGTGTGTGTGTGTGTGTGTGTGTGTGTGTGTGTGTGTTTCAAGAACACAGCCCCCACTGGGGGAAACACTCTGATTTTTAAAAATGGTAGCAATTGGCCTTGAATGGCAGCCGGCCCAGCGAGGCGACCCAAAAGACTAGAAACATTTTGTAGGTGAAATGGCCACTTTTTCCACGCTGGAGAGTCCATAAAACTTCCTGGCTCAGCAGCTACTGGGGCTCATTGAATAATTCATCCCTCATTGCAAGCCCATAATGTCTATTCTGGGCCCTTTGTGGGGCTGTTTTCTCTTCTTTTCTCCTTGAATTATAAAAAGGCTGCCTTCCTTTGTTCACATCAAGCTGCTCCGAGCCCAAGCTTTGTCTGGGCCAAGCTAAAGTGTGAGTTTCAATGGACTCTCCAGGCTTTGTCTCCCAAGTTCATCTCCAAGTGTAGATTGTGTAGAGAAGGCCTTCTTTGTAAACGCTGGAAAAGTTGTACAAATGTTTGACCAGCTCATTTGAGACGTTTTGTCTCCTGGGCCTTGGTTGTTGCTGCTGCTAGGGACGGGCTGCTCTGCCTGGCTGCCACGTCTAGCAACAAGTAGCAAAGCCATGGGCCCCCGGCAAGGCCTGTCCCATAAGGAAGGACTCTACTAGCCTCTGCGTTAGGAGCTCATTGGGCCTGGGTCCTCAGCCTTCTTTTGTCATAGCACCTTTAGACTGCAGCTAGGGCTGGAATGAAAAACAGAGGTGACCACAAATGCATCTGTCCAGGCTTACACAGACTTCACAGAAGCCCCTGCTGTAAACACAGAAGTAGCAGTATGTTCGTTCTCCCTGCTCAACCCCCTTCCATTCGAGGTGCCTTTTCTTGATTATATGTGAGCCCTAAAGCATCTGGGTTCCCGTTTATTAGAAGTCGGGCACTTGGCTGCTACCGTCCAACTCTAAATATGAGTGTGCAGCTTTTGTACAGTTGTCCCAAGGCTGCACAATGAAGGTAAAAAAGAGAGATCCAGCAATCTGTGCGCTAGAGCCAAGTTTCTCCTAGTTCATCTCAGAAAGCCCTGGTAGAAATGGGTTCTTTCTTTCTGTAAACCTTTAGTGTTGAAGATGACTCCAAGCAGGTAATAGGGAAACAGCCTGTAATTCTCCATCCCCTGGAGGGAGATTTTTCTTTTGGTGCTGACAGGCCATAGCCAACAAGGAGTGGGTGGTCTGTACCCCTGGGGGACAGAGGGGGACAGGACTGGGAGCTCAAGAACACAGATCCCTTTGACCCAGATCCCTATAGCACACTTGGGCATGGTCAGTTACTTGCCAGACACACACAGGTTATAACCTCATCCCATTTGAAAACAACTGAAAAGTAGCCAGCTTATGTTCACACACGTGCAAACACACATGTAGAAGGCAGCAGAGGTTAGGGCAACATTAGGCTCCCACTGTCCAGGAGAATCATATTCTTATTAATTCTCACCCACACGCACAGTTTTTCCCGGAGTGTGAAAGCTACTTCAAACTCCATAGTCTCAGCCCATATAATTTCCTTCAGAGAGCTTAGCTTCCATCTAGGAAGTATCCACCTGCAACACATTTCAGACTTCTTAACTCCAAGGAACTAGAAGTGATGGAGATTAAAACTCACAATACCTTAGAGTTAGTATTATTGGAGTGTGGCTCGGAGGCACAGCACTTGCTGATTGTATGTGAAGTCTCAGATTTGAGCACCAGGAAAATAAAGTAAAGGTTAGAATAGAGAAGATTTTTGTTTAATGCCAAGTACCTCTCTGGTCTTTGGCTTGAATGTCCTTCCCGAGAGTAGTAGCTGTGACCAAGGCCGGAATTGAGTTATGAGATGAGCCAGGCCGGTCTGCGTTTGCGCAGACCCACAAGTCTCAGAACCAGCGTTCGCGCTGTAGGAGCGCACGGCCCACTGGGGCCCCTTACCTCGCTCGCTCAGGATGCCGTCGATGCTGTGTTTAGTCTTTTTCTCGCTTTCCTCTGCTTCCTTCCTCTCTAGATCCGCCTCCTCTTCTTCTCCTTTTCCAAATTTACTCCTTAGGATTCGGCTGATGGAACTCACTGGAGATAAGAGGAGGAAGGGAGCACAATTGCTTGAGGGGCTTTGAGAGGAGTCAGGAATGAACCCAAAAGAGACCTCAAAGGCCCAGCCTAGGCTCTCAACCCACTCCCTGCCAGGACTCATTGCTGAGTCCCGCACCTGGTGGCATCCCGGTCCTACTGCATTCTCTCTTCTCTTAAGCACCCCCCCCCCACACACACACTTTCATTAAACTGGAACTAGAAACTGGAAATCTCGCAGCACCTCCAATTCAGAATCGAGAAATGTTTGTTACCGCTGTCCCTCTCGGCTACTGGCCTCTGAACACCCTAAGAAACTTCACCGTATCTCCTCCCAACCCGAAGACACTGGGCCCCAAAGTCCTGGGAAGAAGAACTCCAGAGGGCCTGTCGCCTGCAAATCAACTTGTTTTGAGGCTAGAAAGGGTTTGAATTTCAACTGCAGAATCATTCCCTATTGTAAAAATCAAAAGAAAACGCACTCTGTCCGATTTATTTTTTCCAGATTCCAGTCTGGTAAACAAATCCATGCTCTGAAATATATCGTTCTTACAGAGGGAAAAAGGGAGTTTCCTTTTAATTAAAAACAAACTCTTCCCGCGCGGAGACCCAGCGCTAGCCTGTCTTCCCCGGAACCTCTCCCCAGCTGCCAGGATGTTGGACGGACCCTGGAACTCCCGGGAAATCGGGTCCGGGTCGAATTTTCACCCCTTTACTGTGTCAGCCAACTCTCCACCGGTAGGGCTTGGATATCTCCCTTCAGTGGAAGTTACCAAAGCATTTGTTTCTCTTTAGAAGGAAACATCAATATTAATAATTATTAGGCCTGTGCCCCGCGTTTCCGTCCCAGCCTCCTTAGTAGAAATCCCTTTGTGGGAAACCTCAGGTCGTCCCTGAAAGCCACCACCCTGGCGATCAGCAGTTCACCCAGTGCTCCATAAAACATCAAGAATGTCTGGCTTGTAAATATTTCAGGGCAGCCTCCCAATAGCCACGATGGATAATTGGGGAGATTTTTATGACTGGTATGGCCCGTTGGAGTGTGAGACTGACGGTCGCGCCTCCGGGAAAAGTTAAAGGATCCAGTACCTGAGGGCACAGTGTTCCGGTCACAGACAGCGTCCTTGAGTAATTTGTCTCGGATTTCCCAGCTGAACATGCCCGGGTTCTCTCTTTTGTATTCCTCAATTTTCTTCTCCACGTCAGGCGTTGTCACCTGCTTTAAGAGAATAGGCGGGTGGTGCGTTGGTACCCAATATTAAGAACCAGATGCGGTGCCTCTGCTTCATGGCCTGTCGGATGACCCTTCCTATATACTCTGGGAATGTCCCTCTGCTTAGCCAAAGAACTTTAATTCAGTTTAGAAAAGAGTAGACCGGAAATTTTCTCATTCTGGGCAGCCTGGAGACCTTCTTTCTGCCTGAAGATACAAGGGGGACCAGATTAAATTTTTTTAAAAAAATTGTAAGTTTGGAGGTGAAGGTTGTATTTTCTGGTCCACTAGAAACCCCACCGAATCCACACAAAAACGAAACTGAAAGGAAAATGCTTGAAAGAACCACAGAAAAATCAAATTAGGTCAGTTCCAAAGAGGTCAGATCTAAGCTATGGGAGTATTAGGATGAGATTTCAAAGGCCATCTATCTAGGTTGTATTGTTGTTGTTTTTAATTAGACAAACATAGATAGCTTGAAAAATGTCTCTTTCACTCACTCCTATGATTCTCGCTCAGGTTAAGAGAGAAAATGGGGAGGGAGGGAGACTGGGTTTGGGAGTCATCAGTGCCCATTTGACTTTGCCCCGCTGGCAACTAGAAAATCATACTGGCTTCTCTGCATAACCCAAGGAGAAGGCAGGCCTCGTATAATCTCCTCCCTCTCCGGAGCGGGACTTTGTTGCTTATTAAAGAAAACTAACATGATTTAAGGAACTCACCAAACTGCTTCTTAAAAAATGGAGTCAAGAGGCTTATTATAAAGAAAACTAATAGCCCTGACTTTTGACTTCTTGAAAACATTTTGCACCGGTCGGGAGCGGTGGTTGAGGGGCGTCAATGCTGGGAGAAAACTATTCGAGAACCAAATTGGGATTTTTAGCTTCATTCTAGGAAGGTGGTACAGTGAGTGGGGGTTGGGAAGACACGGGAAAATCAACAACTGGTGGGCTTGCTTTAGGCGTTTATTACAATAATTTGATGAAGGCTCCAAGGCTCCCAGGCATTAAAAACTGTTACCTTCCTTTGCCAAAGAAATGCTAGCAGTTTTCCAAATTTCAAGGACCACCAGTAACCACAACTGAGCTCTACACACACACACACACACACACACACACACACACACACACACACATCACTCCTTCCTAGATATGAAGGTACAGTACCTCCCTTGGAAAGCCCCTTACTCCCTGCTAGACAGTGCCCACTCCCCACCTGCTGGACCACTGACCCCAAGTCCAGGAAACTAGGCCCCAGGCTCACCTTGGGCTTGCTGCCTCCAATGGCACCAGGACGAATGGAGCCCGTCTCTTGGTACCTGCACAAGATCTTAGAGACGCAACCGTGGGACACGCGCAGCTGGCGAGAGATGACGCAAGGCCGAATGCCGTGGTGGGCCATCTCCACGATCTTGTGGCGGATGTGGTTGGGCAGAGGCCTGCCGTTGATAAATACACCTCCGAGCTGGTTGACCCGGCCCTGGCCGAGGGGAGTGGACACTGGGAAGAGAACGCAAAGACAGGGTCCAGGCGAAAATCATTTAGGAAGACTCGAAAGCAGCAGAGAGACGAAAGAGCCTAACTCTGCGTCCTTCCGGCCAGCCCTCCGGTGACAGTCAAACACTAACTACCAGCCTTTGGACTCCCAGTCCCGGACCCTTACGGTTATGATTGTTTGATTACCCACTGCAGAGGCATATAATCTTTTTTGGAAATTGAGTAATTGCTGCAAGATAACTTGCTGCAGAGACACAGTTTTCTCTTTTGGGAGGTGGGGGCGTGAGTGCGGTAAATTGGAGGACTGGAAGCCTAGAATGTCTGGCGATGACTGGGACTAAATCCTGCTGGAGCACACTGACAGTCTTTAGTGTTTCCAGATTAGAGTGTAGTAGGCAAGAATCAGGGAGGATCCGGAAAGGAGACACGGGTGACAGCGCGTATCACCTGTTACACCTCGGAAATAAAAAACTGGCGGTGAGCCTGGTTGTGACCACCACGGCCGCGATTACCGCTCTTGCACGCTGAATTGTACTGTGGACTGCTCTTACTTCCCAAATTGTTTGATAGAGTTTGGGTTTGCAGTAATTTCTACCTTCCCGAAATTTACCCAAACCTTCAAACAAGCCAAAAGACATCCCCAAACATGTTCGAAACTTCGAGATGCCTCTTGAGTTGATTGGAACCTAATCAATCAACACCAAAACTTCCAATTAGGGCGGACCACCTCAGTTTTCCCTAGCAGGAAAATTCTTGCCGAACTAACTGGAGTTTTTGAAAAGTGGGCGCAGCCGGGACAATTTCGTAGTAACTTTGCGTGGACAGAAAGAACTTGTTTCCGCTGCTGCGAAGCTTGTCCACCTTCATCACGGCAGCAACTCCAAAACAGCCGGGTAAAGTGGAGCCGTCAGGAGCAGGCCGAGCAAGCTCCGAGGGTTTGTGTAGAGTACGGTGCTGCGTTTGCAGCCTGAAAGTGGACTAGGGCTTCTCTCCCCTCCGCGAGACCCCCTCCCGACTATTGCTCCTTAGGATGGGAAGTACGGAGGAAGAGGCTCCGGGGAACGCACGACTCCAAGGCCCTGGAGACCTGGAATGGGGTGCGGCAGCCAATCCCAGGCCCCGGGATCCGGATGGGCTGAGGCCCTAACATACCTTCCAGCGGGAAGCCGCTGCGTGGGTAATTCTGCCCCGGGCCGGGCCGCATCATCCTGGGCACAGCGCCGGCCAGCGTGGTCATCCTGGGGGCAGCTTCGCTCGCAAATTATATCCAGGTGAAGGCCAGACGGAAGAGGGAGCGCAATGCGGTGGGTGACCCTCGGGAACTCTCCAGATCGCGGAGAGCTCCTCCCCAAAAAGAAGGCAGGAGAGAGAGGCGGGGCGCAGGGGGGGGGGCTGCTAGCTCTAAGTTCACCCGCTCCAGAGGAGTCCCTAGAATGAAGGATTCTAAACCCAAGGCGGACAAGTTTGGTGAGAGTCTGGCCCCTCAGCCGGGGCCACTGGCAAGAGTGCTCAAAGAGCCAAGAAGCTCGGGGGCGGGAGGGCGGTGACGAAGCGGGAGCACGACCCGAGTCTCCTCCCGTCGTGACACCGAGTGCTGGGATCCAGACTAGGGAGCATTTATTAGTTCTTTCACCCAAAGCTTGGTCAGAAGCCCTGAGCTGCGATTGGCCGACGAGGAGACCGTCCGGGTGGCGAAGACAGGCGCTGATTGGGCGACAGAGGCTACTTTCTCTTCCCATCCCTGACAGTGCCCAGGCCTCCATCGACCCAAAGAGGGACCAGCTCTGTGTCCCTTTCCCGAGAAAGAAGGGTAGACAGGCTGAAACTGGAAGAGGCTGTCTGGGGATGAGAGCGGCTGAGGATGGAGAAGGGCTCACTGTGTCTATCACTCTATGAGTGCGTCCCTCTGATCTCTTTGGTTTTCCATTCCTGTCTGTCTCTCCCTGATAGGCTTGCTCTGTCTCTTATTCTCTCTGTGTGTCTCTGCTTTTCACCTGTGGCTTTCTCTTTAGGGTTACTAACATGGGGGGGTGGGGGTAGGGTTACACATAAAAACACACATGGAGTCCCGGATGTATTTAGCTTTCTTTTCCCTGGTCTTCTCTGGGCCTGGGCTTGCTATTTGAGCCTCCCAGAGCGGCTCCTCTCGCGAAGAGTCCAGGATGTACCCAGAAGATCCTTTTGTTTTCCTTAGTCTGGGGCTAAAGGATAGGTGGGGTAGCCTTCAACATAGACAGTCGTGGCTAGTCCCCCCCCCCCCCCACTAGAAGTTGCAAGATAGGGAGGAGGATTCAGCTCCCTTTCTTGGTTTAAAAGCCTTTCTGGGAAGCCGGGACTCTAAATCTCACATACGCATCGATCCCCGATGCGCATGCATCTATATGTTGAAGTTTTGCCCGGCTGCAGCGTTTGTTCTCAGGAATTTATTATGGCATTCAGACTAAACTGCTGGAAAAATAAAAGGAGCAAAGTCTTGGCTAGGGGCTGAAGTGTCCCCAGCAGGATATGACGCCAGGAGTGTTGTAAAGACTGTCTGTCCTTAGAGAAGGTACCATTGTGCATAGCCTTTTATTTATAACTTGGTAAGTGCCAGCGAACTCGCCTCCTTTACACCCCCGAGTGCCAGCCCCGCGCTCTGCACTGCTCTTTATTCCCTTGAGTCTATTCAGGGACTGTCAGTCTGGGGCCCAGAGGTATTCAGGGCCTTAATCAATCAAAAGGATGAGAATCGGGCAGGTTTTTTCCCTTTGAAATAAAGGAAACAATGACTTCTGGGCTTCAAGTTCCCCCTTTTCCTTTTATGATATTTGAATTTTTCCTGCCCCTGAGTCCTCCACCCCTCTCTCTCTCTCTCTCTGTCCCTCTACCCCCATCTCCTTTGACAATTTTGACGTGAACTCAGGCCCCCAATCCTACTTCCCCACCCCCCTAATTAAGGCAAACTCAAGAGGCAAGATTGGTGGCGGTGGTGGCAGCAGGAGGGGGGCGGGGGCGGGTGCTGCTGGCTGTTCAAAGTTCCATGAGCTGGCCCTTTAAGAGTTCACTCCCAGGGGGAAAAGCTGGGTAGCTCTGTGCTCCCCCCAGAAGTCAAAAGGCTTCCTTGACCCTGGGAGCAAGCGAGACAGACCTCTGGGGACTCCAGAAAATGTCTGGACACCCCACCCCCACCCACCCACACTTGGGGGAGGAGCATTTGAGTTCACAGTGGAAAGCCCAGAAGCTATTTTTCCCCTGTCCTGCTTAACCAAGTTTTATATTAAATGATTCAGTTTGTCAAGGGACAACACTTTCTCACTTCCTTTTCTGGGACAGGAATCCTTCAAAGTCTGGGTACTCGTTTTGTAGGTCACGTTGACTTTCCCAAGTTTTTTGCCTCCCCATAACTGAGCCAGAGTCGGTTTGGTACTTTGTAAGGTCAGCTTTAATTGGTGGGGGAGGAGGGACCCAAGGTGAACTTCAAGAGGGTAAATTCAGGCTGCATACTCAGTGAAAAGGGATGGCTCCTTGAGGTTAGAGCCCTCTGGGACAGAGTCTCCTCTGTTATTCAGTTCAAGGCTTCAGCGATGTGACCCCAGTTCTACCGAGGACTGATCTTGCTAGAGAGCCAGCAATGGTGACTCGTTTGTAGTGGGTGACTGCAGATTCCTTCCTGGGTTCAGAAAGCCCTCTGGGACATTTCCACCTATGTATTGCCAGTTGAACAGCTCATGGGTGCCAGTTCAAGAGTACATTCACAAACCACTTAACCACCTGCTAGGAAAATGTATTCTCAGAGGCAGAGAGACCAGGACACCGGGACAAGGGCAGAGGCAAAGACTGGGTTCTTTTCCTTCCCTGCCCAGCACTCTCTGGTTCACATGCCACCAAAGAATAAAGGCCAAGCCATCTCTATCCAGAAGTCCCCAGGGATCTTGAGAGCACTGAGCAGACACAGCAGCTAGGTCATTTCCAAAGCTCCATGGTGAAGGCCAAGGTAGTGATGTTGGCTGAGGATCTCCTGACAGTGGCACCCACCCTGCCAAACCAAAGCAGGCAAACGAGACTTGGAAGAGGCCCACACAGGTTACTGCCCCCTGTCTGACAATTTGTGGTTCCCAGAGGTTTAGACGGTTTGGTTTGGGCTTCCCTCTTCCTTTTCCCTCAAATGTGTCTGGAAGCTGAAACCACCCTATCTCAACAGCCTGTATCAGTAGTCTCTACCCAGCTAGGAGCCGCTGGGCTAGCCAGTCCAGGTGCTCAATCTGTCCACAGTTCAGCCACTAATTGGACAAGTACGTGACAGCAGAGGCTCTAGGAGGGAGAAGCCAGCAGCACTATTCCTCAGGTACATGGCGAACCTCACATGTGTCCAGGGAAGTGACTGCAAGAAGCCTGTGAATAATTCTGGCATCTATCCCTGACATTCACATATTTGTAAAATGAAATTCGAGTCTTGAGTACAAAAACAGTATAACTTAACCCCTGCAACAAGTGGGGACTTTGTGCTTGACTCCTATACCCCCCCCCACGTTTTAGAGGTGTTTCAGGTAACACAGGTTAGACTGACAGCCCATGCTTAGTTCTTAGTTCCAAGTGGGTATGAATCTGGGGATCTCCATCCCAAAGGCCTGGAATGACTTCTGCTGGCGTGGGCCATGGGGACACTTTTCTTTATGCATCCTCCTTACTTGGGGGAACCATGCTTGAGCTTCTCCAGGCCTCCCAGAGACAACCTTGCTTACCCCAGAATTACAATCTATGTAAAAGAATGTTTAGAGAGAGGCGAGTAAAGTGGTGATGAAGGCCTCCAGGGATCTTTCTGCTGGATCTGGTGGGAGAGTCGCTGAGACAAGAACGGGCCTACAGGGGTTTGGGGGGGGGCACGACGCGTAGAGATTGCCGAGGTTGCTTGACTGCGCCACTGGGCGGCAGGATACAGTGGGACAATTGCCGAGGAACCCCCAGTCCTACAAAAAGGAGTAAAATAAAACTCTAGATTCCAGGCAGTGAGCTTCCTGACCAACAGTGTTAGCTACTGGTGAATGTATGGGTTAAACCCGCGGAGCAGCTCCGCCACCACAGCATCAACGGCGGTCATTTCGCATCCCAGCTCCACAGTCACTTGTCAAAAGCTTGGCGCCGCTCTTCTCTCCATCAAAAAATCAGGAAGGGTGAGCTCGGATTTAGGAGCAAGATGCAGATCTGGGCGCCGCATTGAAATGTCTGGGTGAGCCACAGGGTTTGTCCCTGTCATGCCCCTGTAGCAGAGAGGGCCTTAGGGAACTGGTGAGCGGGTTAGCAATAAAGAACATATGGTTTCTGGGAAAGAAAGAGTAAAGCAAAAGGAAAAAGGAAAGAAAAAGAGAGGAAGAGAAATTTTTTAAAGCAAAATCGAAAACCAGCAGAACAGGCAGAAACTGCATTTGTCTAGTCTTACAGAAGTTCATTTGCAAGATTTATCTTTATGTATACACGGATGGTGACCTACCACATCCAGGGGAGTCTTGTAAAGTAATGATAATGATAACGATAATGCTAATAAAAATAATAAATTAATCCTCTCTGCACACATTGATGGGAGTAAACTGAGAAGGAGGACTTGATCTCTAAAAGATCCAATTCCGTGACTGTCTGTGCATGTAGGTCTGGCTCTGATATGTCGTGGTTAGAGGGTAAGGAGAAAGGGCTTTCCTTAGCCAGAGCACAGGCTGACTGACTGACTGGGACCCGGAGCAGCCCAAGCTGCCTTTGTGCAGAGGCAGGCGGAGAGGTTAAATCCGGGGGAGAATAGTTAGGAGGAGTGAGTCAGAGAAGCAAGGTCGACAAACTTTCTAAGGACTGCTGACTTGAATAAAAAGGTAGGCGAATGACCCTCCCAGGAATTCCGGTTCCAGAGAGAATGGACATAAGGACACTATTGCGAATCCTGCTCTAGAGGCTCTGGAGGCTGACTGGGTGGTGGAGCAGGAAAACAGTGGTGAGGTGGCCGGCGGGCGAGGTAACAGGCGTATGGCTGGAATGAGTGCAGACCTGTTTCTGAGTCATCCCGGTGCTGGCGTCAGGGCTGTGGGCTGACGCCGCTCCTCTGGATCCGATCCCTTCGACCCACAGATTTTTGTGTTGGATGATTTCAATCCGAAGGATGAGGGTCAACTGACTAATAGGAACAAGAAAGGAGAAAAGTCGAAAACCAACGTTCAAGTGCAGGGTGTCCCCGCCGAGCCTGGCCGCTAGTCACAGGGGAATCATGACTTCTGGAGGCAGCCCTTGTGTGCCCAAGTCCCGCAACCCTGGGGCATTAAAGGCAAAACTGGGGCGGGAGACGCTGCAGTCAACTGGGCCGAGGAATCTCAACAGGTGGAGGAGGCAGGCTTTCCAGCCTCCAAGCTGGATTCGATCTGGCCAAAGCACTGCAGGCACGGAGCTAGTAGGGGACAACCGGAAGCTGCCATGTGCACCTGCCTGGAAGATATTCACAGCCAGAGAGTGCGTTCAAGGCAGCGACTAGGCAACTTAGCTAGGCAGGGAGGGACTGCTGTCTTCAAGATCCTAAGACTTTCTTACAGTGAAGAGGATAGATAGAAGAGGAAAT